TTTCTTTCTTCCTTTCTTTCTCTTTCTCTCTCTGTGTGAGTCTGTGTGTGTGTGTGTGTGTGTGTGTGTGTGTGTGTGTGTGTGGTGGATTTCAAAATTTTTGGAACCTCTTCTGTAGGTGTGGCCTGCTTTCCTGGTCCACTGTTGGAACCTCTTCTAACCGGTTCGGTAGATTTGACGAACCGGTTCTACCAAACTGGTGCGAACTGGTAGGAACCCACCTCTGGTTCCTAACCAGTTTACTACCCGTTCGCTTGTGCTCGGGCACACACAACACATCTACACATGCGCAGAAACATCTGGACAGGTGGGTGGAGTCTGCCGCTGCCACCACTACCAGTTCAGCTGAACCTGGAGTAACCCACCTCTAGACCATACCAGATCCTCTGTTTTGCTCCAGTTCTGCAAAATTGTATTTTTCAGTATACACGAAAACAAAGCATCACTAGTTAACTTTTTTGGAATTGTGGGCTGACATGCCTGTCAAGGATGGACAGATGCAAAAAAGCCTGAATTCCTGCCCCTTTTGTCCCTTATGCAGCAATGGCATTTCAACAAATAGGCTTGCCTAGCAAATTGTTCTGTGTTCTCCTCTCTTGTACCCAGCTATTAAAGATGCAGAAGCTCAATCAGTTTTTGTGCTAGGTTACATTTTCCAAAGACTGGATCAAGGAAGCATGAACTAATTCTGGGTACAATGACTCTGTGCTTGCATTTCATTCACAGTTTTGTTGGATGGCCTTGCAATCTTTTTGAAGTTCCAGGATGATACCCAAATCCTCAAGGCTTTACTTGAAATGGGAGGGCCCAGGAGCTGAATGGCAGTTCAGGAACCTTCCAAGCTCCTTTACATTAACAAGGGTAACTGTCATCTCTAGCCTTCCTGGAAACCTAAGAAACCGGTAACCAATATTCCAATCCAGCACTGAGTAAAAATTTGACTCCAAATTCCCACTGCTTCAGATGCATTTCATTAATGCTTTATTTTTCTAGAAGTTATTTCTTGAATACATTTCAACAAACAAAATTTCCTCTCTTTGTGTGCTGTTTTTATATTGAGTTTTTCCTTTTACCATCCCATTTCTTCTGGGTCTATGTGGATAAATTTGTAAATTAGTCTTCTCTCTTCGGCTTGCACAATATGCTCCTTATGTCATACATTTTTCCTGGTTATGTTGGGCAGTTTGATAAGAGAGCATATTGAAATTCCGTGATAAACATAGACTCCCAGCTTGTAATACCATAAAATATTGTTTGAGATAGGAGGTTTTTGCTGCTAATGCAATTTAGCATTTATTTAGCCACTACATCCAGAGAACATATATTTTTATATAATACTTGAGAGGCATGCTAAAGCCATAAAACATGAATATGAGTAAATATACATAGCACACAATTCTCTGTTGCCTTTTCATTGTGATAAATTTTTTAAAGGAACATGATTTCTGCTTTCCAAAGACAATATTCTCAGCAACAAATGTGATCTTACAAACAACCAGGCCCTGCGGAGGGTGAGCAGTTTTATCTTCAAGATAGTTAATCCTTCCTTTCTGTTGTATTTGCAGATGCTGTGGCTTTCATGGGTAGTTTCCCCTCTATTTCTGACATTAGGTAAGATTTTCTGTAGAAAAATTCCTTCCACACCTCTATGCCTGTTCATGTCTGCTGAGACATTACTGAGGCTTGGCATTGTATGGAAGAACATCCTCAAGTGAGAATTACAACCAGCACTACAATTGCTCATGGAGAAATGTAGGATTTACATTGAAGTAAAGATACAGTAAATCAGGAAAGCATCTTGGTATTCAACCTCTTTTGAAGAAAGTGAAGAGAGGTTGATGGAACTGTACATTTTCCACAGTCTTACTTGCTAAGACAAGACCATGATTGTTCTGGACCTCCCATTAAGGGTAGCATTAAGTCCACTAGTCTTAGTCTACAGAGTGTTGGGAAATATGAAGAGCTATGGCAGGAGATATTATGAGGAAATCCAGATGAAGGAAGAATTAGAAGATTGGGTGGTATGAGTGGATGGGGATTGTCTTTTGTTCATAAAATCATAATTTCAGCTGACTCTCTTTCTTGCAGCATCCGCGAACCAAGCCCCAGAGTTCAACATGAACAGCACCCTTATGTTGCCAGAGGACACACCTGTAGGTTAGTGACAGAGAAAGCTTTGTTTGCAATGCAAAAAATGAAAGCCATAATTTCTATATTTGTCAATAGCATTTTTCATAGCCTTCCTCGGCTAAGACCTATAAATGAGACAGACAGTGACTCCCATCATTTCAGCCAGTGGTTGTGATGATGGAGGAGCTATAACCCTATGCATACTGAGGACATGTTAAGAGGATTATAGTAAGAGGACATGGTAAGAGGCTTCCAAAGTCTATCCAGACCTGCGTCCCCGAGGGAATGGGTGAAGTAATGAGAAGACTCTGTGATTATTAATATCCCTACATCGATTATTCATTATTTTGGTTCTGTTTTTATAGTTTTTAATATTTTTTTAAAAAAATTAACGATAAGGGTTTTAACTATTGTTTTAGTTTTGCTGTATGCCACCTAGAGTCACTATTTTATGAAATGCGTGGCTATATTGTTTAAATAAGTAAAATAAAATAGGAACCCAGAAACCATTCTGGTTTGTTTCAAAAGATGTGGCTTTAGTGAGATGACTGGAGGGTGTGTGTATGTGAAGTCTGTGGCCATAAGGATTCTTTTAAAACTGGGTATCTCTCCGGTTCTTTCCTCCCACCTTCTCTGCTTCTGGCCCTCATTTTTCATTGCAGGGACCTTGGTTCTGCAGTTGGTGGCAAAGGATCCTGAAAATGAACCATTATACTATAGCATTGCGGGTGAATATGCTTACTACTTCTCACTTGATAGTAGAACAGGCAACGTGACGCTGAAGCAACCTGTGGATTATGAGGTAAAGATATGAAAGGACATAACCAGGGATGGGCAAAGTGTGATGGCAACTCTGGCAGCCCCCTTCTGAACAAGAGGTAGACCTCATTCAGTGACCACAATTGGGAGTGCCAACTCAGTCATTAAGTGAAATTATTGATAAATGAATTTGCGATTGTATTTAATATCTTACTTCAGCTTTCCTTTCCTTAATGGACCTGCAAGGATCATAAGTGAAAGGATTGAGAGACCGCCTGCTGCCAATTACCTCCCACAGACCCATTAGATCTCACAGGGTTGGCCTCCTCCGGGTGCCATCTACCAGCCAATGCCACCTGGCTATTACCCGGGGGAGGGCCTTCTCTGTGGCAGCTCCGGCCCTCTGGAATGAACTCCCCGCAGGGATTCGGACCCTCACCTCTCTCCAGGCCTTCCGAAAAGCCGTCAAAACCTGGCTTTGCAGGCAGGCCTCCTCAGAGCAAAGAAGGGACTTGAGGTGATTCTGCCATGACTACAGAGAATGAATCAATCAATTTGTAAAAAGGAGATTAAAGGGGAACTAATAAGGGCAGAGGGACACTGAGATTGTGAAAAGAGTGGATGGAGAAAAAAGGCTAATGTTCAGCGTCTTAAGACTGGTATTTCCTATACTAAGATGTGGCTATATGTCATTTATTTTTAATATTTAAGTCTTTGTAAATAATGGAATGTTCATAATATATTACATAAGTTTTATTGCATTTACATCTGCATTGAAAGAATACATTGTACCAAGATTTATAACATTGCAATAAAAGAATTAAAAGAAAAAAAAATCTGAAGTATATGGACAAGACCTTTTTAGCTCTCCCAAAAGTTGGCCACAAATCAAGTTGAAGGCAAATATAGGTGTCCCAGGATAATGCTGCAGGTTCCAATCTGGTCAGTTTATAGAAGTTGAAAGCTACAGGATGGGAAACAAATAGGGTTTCCCACCCTGTAGCTCTCAACTCCTATAAACATCTTTCCTTTCTTATTTTTAGGGACCTCTCTTTCTTTCTTCTCCTTGGTGTTGTGCTTTGTATTTCTGAATTTTCCACAACTCTACTTCAGGGGCTGCCACAAAGAAGAGGGAGTCAAGCTATTCTCCAAAGCACCTGAGGGCAGGATGAGAAGCAATGGGTAGAAACTAATCAAGGAGAGAAGCAACCTAGAACTAAGGAGAAATTTCCTGACAATTAGAACAATTAATCAGTGGAACAGCTTGCCTCCAAAAGTTGTGAATGCTCCAACACTGGAAGTTTTTAAGATCTTGGATAACCATTTGTCTGAAATGGTGTAGGATTTCCTGCCTAAGCAGAGGGTTGGACTAGAAGACTTCCAAGGTCCCTTCTAACTCTCTTATTCTATTGGTACATGTGAATTTGCTTTTAACTGCCCCTGAATTAGATATTAACTCATGTTAGCCTGAAAGACTTCAATAGATCTGTCCTTTGTGAATTTATCCAACCCCTTTAAAGCTATCAGAATTAGAGACTTAATACCAGATAATGTAGGAATGAATTCCACAAATTAACTACAATGTAATTTCTTTTGTTCTAAAATACATTCCATCCAGATGACCCCTGATCCTAATGTTCTGAGAGGAGAGGAGAGAAAAATGTCCATTGTTTTTTCCCAGTCCATGCATGAAGTCACATACTTTAATCATATCCAAGTCACCCTTTCTAAGCTAAAACGCTTCAAATGTTCTTTTTTTTTCTTGCAAGAAAAATATTCAGGCTCCCTGATCATTTGAGCTCCCCTTTTTGTAGCTCTGTTACTGTATATCCTTTTTCAAATGTGCCAGAATTATGTACATGTATGCCATATATTTATTTAAGGACATTATTCTCTTTGCAGTTTTTATTTACAACCCCTTTCTAATTATACCCAACATGGAATTTGTCCTTTCACAACTGCCTTTGTTGAATTCTTGGTTGTCACCCTAAGAACATTTCCCTTGTTATTTTCAGACAGCTCAGGTACCCCCAGTGCATTTGTGTAATTAAGAGTTTGCTCCACTGTGTGCTTCTTTTGTCTCATTTAAATTAAAATGCATTGGATACTTGATTAATATTCATCTTTTTTTCTTGGATTACCATTGCCTGTAATTTGCTCAAAAGAGACATTAAGATGATTCAGTTTAAATTACTTATCTCCCACATGTGTCCTTCTTTCTTTTTCTTTTTTAAAAAAAGGTGTCTTCACAAGATCTTTGAACAGGAAGTAATCAGATTGACCCAGAATCAATCAAGATCCAAAGTACTGGAAATTTAGACTGTTGTTGGTTGCTTTTTTGAATCCTTCTTCAATGATTGGTGGAGGCTTGTTTTAGAAAAGAAGGAAAGATTGCCAAAAAAGAGAGACAGGAATAGTAAATTATAAATGCCTTCAACTTGTTCAAAAATTAATACTTTACTAATAAAAAATGGCATTTCTATTTTCTCATTTTTTTCTCATTTCTATGAGCTGAGGTGGCGCAGTGGTTAGGGTGCAGTACTGCAGGCCACTTCAGCTGACTGTTATCTGCAGTTCAGCGGTTCTAATCTCACCGGCTTAAGGTTGACTCAGCCTTCCATCCTTCCGAGGTGGGTGAAATGAGGACCCAGACTGTGGGGGCAATATGCTGACTCTGAAAACCGCTTAGAGCTGAAAGCCCTATGAAGCGGTATATAAGTCTAACTGCTATTGCTATTTTATCTACACTGTACTTTAAATTTTACTATGTCTTTATATTTTTCTAGTCAGTCTTCAATATATTTCTTTATTATCGATTTATTTATTTTATCTTAAGCCCTATATCTCCCTATGGCCACTCTCTGTAGAGATATATTTAGAATTCAAAGTATCTTTTAGTCTGTTGTTATCTTAGGTTCTGCTTTCCATTTCTTCTCTGTCAGTCTTGGCTGTTTCTTCGTTGCTTCGTTGCTTATGTATTCCCAGCTGTGCTTCTTGACTCTTTTTCTCTTACAAAACTTGACTCCAGCTGAGGAAACAGTAGAAAAAAAATGTTTCCTTAGAGCCAGCTCTGAGGGAAGGAAAAACCAGTTTGTACCCTCCAGTTCTAGTTTGTCTCTTTACTTCAACTCCTGGGCTTGGAGTTTGCCTATTCAGTCTATTCTTCTTCATGAGGTCTATGGCTGCAGAGAGTTCCAGATAGACACCTTGTTCTCCCGTCCTCCTCCTCCTTCTCCCCCACCTGTCCAATGCGGCTCTTTGACTGGCAACTGGATCATCCTGATGCTGTAGTATGTGCGTTTGTGTGCGTCTGCTTTATATTCAGCTTTGTCCATCTGTTCTTCCACAATGCCACATTGGTTACTTGTCACACCTTTGGTACTTTAAAGGACAAGTTACATCTTTGACATTTACGGTCTCAATTAGATACCAGGGAGAAAACTGGTGGTGTTCTATTTTTTTCCAGTAAACTAGTTTTTATACCTTCTTTGACAACCAAAGCATTACTCCCTCCAGTGCCATATTGCCTCTTATCCTGCATCTTACTCAGACTCTTTAATTCATCCTTTTTAGATTGGATTGCTCTATGCATAGTACAGTTATGACCAATTCACAGCATGGTTATTTGGATTCTAAATCTGGTAATCAGCTAAGTCTTGAGCAACCTGATTAAAAGAGATACCACTGTGCCCTGTTGGCACCAGGTATCTCAAGTCCTTTGTATATCAATGTGATCAGGTGCGCTGTGTGCCCACTAAGCCAAAAACTCTTTTAGCTCTAGAAATCAAATGCTTTATTGCAATTTATCCATTGTTTTATCGTCTCATCTCACCTTTGCTGCAAACAACAGCTTCTCAGCATGCATTCCCAAAATATTTGTAAGCCGGAAGGCTTCAGATTAAAGTTCTTTTCTTTTTTTCTATAGTTTATATACAGCAGTGATAACATTCATGCTTCCCTCTCTTCTACCAGGTTACTCTCATTCTCACAATATTTAATTTCTCATCTGTAACCAGAGGAATATCATCAACAGCATCTCCCTTAACTGCTGAACATCATCATAAACAACTCACATATCCCACCTCCTTGTCCCATCCCAATCTGGGTCAGAGACTTTTAGCACAGACATCCAAGAAACATTATAGTATCTCACCTTTAGAGGTACTTGTCCTCTATACACTGTAGACCAGTGTTTCTAGTCTGGGCCGCTGTAACATGTGTGGACACACTGGCTGGGGAATTCTAGGAGTTAAAATCCACTGATCTTAAAGTTGCTAGTAGATTACAATATCTTGTACAGTATATAGTGTAAACTGGGAGCCTAGTGTCCTGCAGATGTTTTGGTCTTGTCTTTCACTGTTGTCCATGCCATTTTGAGATTTTGGAAGTTGTATCCCTGAATATTAATGAGGGTCCAGTTTACTTATCCCTACTGTACAAGTTTTCTTATTTACAGGAAGACCTGCAAATAAAGTAGAAATAACGCATTGGTAATTAGCTATTGGAGTTTGTAAGCTTTTATTTGTCTACAAATCTGGACTGAAAGAAAACTACTGGCTTAAATAAATCAGGGCATAATTGATTTATTGGACCTTCTATATCTGGAATCATTTGCAGAAAAGATGGAAAGGGAGTAATAGACTGTGGGTAGGGACATAAATGATTCATAAATGAGGCATCTCAGCTAATCTGTCCTTGGGGAAGAAGTATTAATAAGAGATATGGTCTGGTTCATTTATCATTTCAAGTTATAATGTACCGTAATTTGTCTGTTCTGACTTAGTACTGCATGTGAATCCAACCCTATGTTGCATAGGGAAGCAGATAGAACTTTGTCAGGATCGCAGCTGTGAGACCTCCTTTGGTCCATTGCTCCCTATATTGTCCATGGTTCATGGAAGAGTAGAGAGTGTTAAAAAGAATCAAAGGAAGTCTAGAGCCCTGCTGGGGGGGTAGGATTGGTCTATAAATCTGGTCAAACATGTATGATTTAGAACCACGATTAAGGCATAACTTGTGGCAATAAGAACAGCAAAGTATCAACGCTTCTTCATTCTTATTGTTCCATAGAACAATTAATCAGTGGAACAGCTTGCCTCCAGAAGTTGCGAATTCCCCAACACTGAAAGTCTTTAAGAAAATTTTGGATAGCCATTTGTTTGAAATGGTATAGGCTTTCCTGCCTAGGCAGGGTGTTGGACTAGAAGACCTCCAAGGTCCCTTCCAACTCTGCTATTGTATTATTGCGTCTGCAGAAGCCTCCTTGGTGACCTGCTTAAGATTACCCAGGCCCTTCTAGGAAAGGGGAGGGGGCAGAAGCCTATCTTCAGGGCCACATAAAGTAATTTTCTATGTATCTGGCAGATAAAGTTATTCAGGTCTATTCCCAGTTGGATGCCAAACATGGGGCAAGCCCTGTGGAGATGCCCAGGGAGTGAACCTGTTCGATTGTCTAAAAACAGTTTGATCCTATTGGAGCTGAAAAAGTGAACATGGACCTTCAGATTGTAAATGCCACAAGATACGAACTAGATCTATGCCCTCCTTGACTGGTCAAGACTGCTTGGGAGATGACATTTGGGGGGAATGTCTATGAAGATTCTCAATCATCCAGGTCATAGTTGCTCCATAGGTGCTTTTTATCAAGTGGCAACTGGACTTCCTTAATTTTTTTTCCTTTGAAAACATTTTGCTTCTCATCCAAGAAGATTCTTCAGTTGTTATGCTAATCAAGTTGTAAGACATGAGTGCTGGTACTCCCCTTGCCCTAAATTTGTTGAAGGCAATCTTCTATTCACCCTAACAGAACTGAAGGAGGTTCTTGGATGAGAAGCAAAACTTTTTCAAAGAAAAACACCCAAGAAAGTCCAGTTGCCATTTGGAATAAAGCACCTTTGGGACATGACGTGTGGGTGAATATGAGCAATAGTGAATTCATCCTTGAGGGAGGGGGCATTTCAGCTTTGTTTAAAGAGAAGCTGGTGCACTTGTCCACAAGAAACCATTGCTGAACCTTGCCATTCTGGACAACTTTCAACTAGTTCCCCACCTTTTCTTTTTAGGGAAGGTAGTTGAAAAGTTGGTGTCACTACCACTCTATAACTTCAGAGAGTACTGAATGAAATGGATTATCTGGACTTTTTTCAATCACGTTTCAAGCCTGGATGTGGGACACAAACACCATTTTTAAAGATTATCTTTGGTGGGAACAGGATGGGGATACTGCATCCATCTTTCTTTTTCTTGACCTCTCACTAGCTTCTGTTACCATTCACCCTTTCGATACAATATCCATTAGGGGTGAGGGCACAGCTTTGTGCTAGTCCATCTCCTTCCCCTGAGGCTGGTCCCTATCAGTGTTGAAGTGAGAGGTCTCTTTTTTGTCACAGGATTCAGGGCTTTTTCAACATCTACATGGATTCACTAAGTGGGGCCATCTGCCATTATGGAATGATGTATCACCAGTATGCTACCCAGTTATACATCTCCATCCTGGGTGAACTATGCAATACTATTGTGTGCATTCTTGAGGCCTGAGAAAACTTGAGGTTGCGTGGGTCTGGATGGGGAACAACAGGCTTCAGCTGAACCTTGGTAAAATGGAGTGGTTGTGGGTAGGGAGCTCCTCTGTATGGGCATTTAGCATCTTTAGCCTTGGATGGGGTTACACTGTCACAGACAGACCCTCTGCATAATCTGAGGATCCTCCTGGACTCACAACTCCTGCTTGAGGAGCAGGTGGCAAGCCTGGCTAGAAGGATCTTTGCTCAATTTTGTGTTGTGCACCAGTTACATCCTTTCCTGCATAGGGAGGCTCTCCGCTCAATTATTCATTCCCTGTTTGTCTCTCATCTGGATCATTGCAATGCACTCTAAGTGGGGTACCGCGGAAAAATATCCAGAAACTTCAGCTGATGAAGAATGTGGCCATGCCAACAATTTTGGATGAATATGTAACAGGTTTTTGCAGTTCTTAAGTTAGTAACATGGTTATTAAATAAATCTCCCCCATTTACTTTGCTTGCCAGAAGCTTGCAAAAGGTGATTATGTGTCACTCAGACACTGCAGTTGTGTTAGATATGAGTCAGTTGCCAAACGTCTGAATTTTGATCAAGTGGTCATGGGGATGCTGCAATGGTTGTGTGTGCAAAATGGTCATGTCATTTTTTTCCCCAGTGCTGTTGTAACTTTGAACAGTCACTAAATGAACTATTGTAAGTTGAGGACTACCCGTATGTTGCATCTTTGATATGATTTCTATGTTTTTCTATGTTTGTTTATTTATTAAATTTTTATGCTTCCCATCTCACTCTAAAAAGCAATGATATGGACAGTAAATAAATATGACTTATTTATCCCCCAGATTGAAACCAAAGTATGATCATCACGTTGGCACATCATTATTAAAGTACTTCTGCTTTGCACTTTATTTTCAGCAAACAAGTGTTATCCTGCTCAACGTGCAAGTGACAGACAAGATAAATCTACCAGTAAGTAAAGGGAGAAAGTGTTGGGAGAAAGACAAATCTGGAGGGATACATGGGGCATAGAATCCCCATGGATGGGGAATAGGGCGATGAGGTATATCTGCTATACCAGTGCTCAGTAAGGAGCTATAGCAGAGGTCTCCAAGCTTTGCTGGTTGGGAAATTCTGGGAGTTGAAGTCCGCCAGGCTTAAAGTTGCCAAGGTTGGAGGCCCCTGAGCTAGAGCACAGTTTGAGTGAGTTACACTTTGACTGAAGCCACTGAGATAAATTAAAATTAGTTATAGCATTGAGAAAAGCCTCCAACAACTCCGCTAGAGAACCAGACACAAAACCAAATGTAACAGCTGTGCTGAAAACACTTCTGTGGCTGCAGTTTTTCTTATCCATTAACTTGCTGAGCTGCAACTGCTTGATTACGATGACAGTGATGATTGCATTTTTATATGCTGACTACTGGAGTTTTGCCCTTTATTCTGTTGACTAGTAGAGTTTCAAGTGTTATACTTTCGGGTCCAGGGCCTGATCTGTCTTGTATAAGGGTTATCATATCTCTACAGCCCTTTTCTACTCATGAATGCTGAAGCCCTTCCGTTTAGTCTCTTATATCATTTGTGTTTAACCTTCTTCTTTTTTTATCAACAGAACTCTAAAATAATCACTATCATTATAATTGACCGGAATGACAATAAACCAATATTCCAGAATGAACCTTATTTGATAGATGTCCCTGAGGTATCTAATGTCCATGTTATTTTCTTCTCAAGTTTATTCTAGAAAGGTTATTTATGTGTGACTGTGTGTCCCGTACAAATAATCCTCAAGTCACAATGGTAATTGGGACCAGAATATCCAATGCTAAGTGATGCACTCATAAAACATGACATTACATGATCACATTGCTTAGTGGAGGCTATTCTGACAATCCCTGTTGCCATTGTTAACTGAAGCCCACTGGTCATTAGGGGAGGATCCAGATTGACCCACTCTGATCCAAACTGTTCCTAGCTTGGGCCCTCCCATCCTGATCCTTGGAAAAGTAAGGCCCTCCCTCCTCTACCTCCTCTTCAAGTCCCTCCACCCATCTATCTCTCCACCTCCCATCTCTCCCCTGCTGGCTTTGCACTTCATGTGACCTGTTGCTTTATCCAAATCACATGGGGCTTTCCTGTGAGGTTTTGAAGCCTTCCAAAGCCATGCAAGAATTAGAAATGAAGATAGGGGAGATGGACGAGTGGGATTAAGCATTCCTGGGGTTGCAAATGCAAGTGGGCTGCCAAATGTCAGCATTTTGACTACATTACCAAGGGTGTGCTGTTGTAACTTTGGGGACCAGACATAACTACCATTCATTCAGCATCACCTTCATAACTTCTAAATCATCTCTGAACAAATTATTGTTAACTAAGAATTATAAACACATTAAAAAAATTTTTTTAAAGTAGACCTGTACAACAATTGACTAAAGTTAATCATGGAAACAATGGAGATCAGGGGTGTTTATGTTTTGAAAATGAGTTCAGAGAAATGCTACAGAGCTCACCCCAAGCGTGAATACATGACTTTCCTGCCACTCATAGAAGCAGCATCTACTGAATTCAATTTCTGTGGGAACTAAAAAAAAGGGATTAATCAGGGGTGAAATGCTACCGGTTCGAACCAGTTCACCCGAACCAGTAGTTTAAAAATGCTACCGGTTTGGGCGAATCGGTATTTCTGACGATCAGCTGTGACTCGCGATTTATATTAGCTAGAAAGCAGGATTTCCTGCTTTCTAGCTAATGTAAATCGCATGGCACAGCTGATTCCCCCCCACCTCGCTGTTCGCTTACCTTTGCATGCATACTCGGTAGCAGGTTCCGCCCACCCGCCCAGATGTCATCACGTCCGTCTTTGATGCTCTGCGCATGCATGGAAGTTCCTGCACATGCGCAGATGGAGCACATGCAAGCGAAGTATGCACTCACATTTGCGAACAAGTAACGAAGGTTAATAGATTTCACCCCTGGGATTAACCTATCACAACTGCAAGGACATTATACCATTTGGATACCTATATTTGAGAAACAACTTCTGTATCCAACTCTGTCCATTTCAGCCACATGATTTCATTCTCACTGGACTCCTTTCTAACATAGTACTGTATATGCTAGCTATGGCTCCTGTTACAAGCAAAGAGTGAATGAAGCTACTTTGGAATGTGAGTAAGAAAAATTAGGAAAAACTGCTGTTTTAAATAAAGATTTTAAGAACTTGTTGGATGAAACAAGTAATAATTTAAAATCAGCAGGAGATTTAAATGGGGATTTATAGTAGATTACTTAGATAATGATAGAGCCTAAACTGGCAATATGTTAAATCTGTGTCATGCAACATGATCTGTATATTTAAAACGGCTTAGACAGAAAGCTTCATTGCCATGTCAGTGGCAACTCTCCTCCCCTAGCCTAATTGCTATCAACATAATGGATTTTTGATATGATTGCAGCCAATTAAGGAAGGCTTAATTCTCTTTTCCCTATGTATTGCAATCCCAATTGGTGCAAAATAATTTAATTGTTATTTAATTAAATAGTAATTAATTAAGTTATACATTATTTTGTGCACTGTAATTTAAACATAATAAATAATTAGACCATTTTCCTCTGACATTTTGATCTTGCCCCATTCCTTAGATGTTACCTCAAGTTTATTTCAACATGTAGAATGGTAGCCTTTGCATGTTAGACTAACTAAACCTGAACGCTCTTCAGTAATGAAATCAAAGGACAGAGAAAGCCATTTGTTTTCTCCAGCATCAGGGCTGGATTGAGGCACAGAATGAGATGTTGCCCTCATGTAGTGCTTCTTATATCCCAGAGAAATAGCCCCACATTACCCAAGCTTCTGCCTTTCAGAGATAGTGGGCTGTAACTCTTCAGTAGTCCTCCTGGCTGACTTTTCAATAGCTTGCAGTTCTTCACATTGTCGGGATCATGACTTACATACATGGAAAAGCCTAAGGAAGAATGCCATAACTTCTAGTTTTGCTATTCTTTTTTTCCCCAAGCAACCGAGGGATTTACCTTATTAGATAATTTTTAATACAACTATGCTCATTTCCAAGATAGACCACAGCTAGTACTTTGGACCTTACAACACCTCCTGCCTATTGATTAAAGCAGCCTGATTGCTTTAAAGCACTCAGTAATGGTGCCACTGTTTTAAGGAATGCACTAGTCAATGCAGCTCTTCAAGTAGTGGTGGTACCTTTTTAAAGGTTCACTTTGTTTAATCAAAGCAGAAAAGTGTTGCCCTTCTGTGAGGTCCAAGGCAATTATTCAGAATCATTTTTCAAAGCATGTGTGGTTCTGTTAAATGATTTGTATATTAGCTTTGGATGTTATATGTAGCTTCTGTTGCTCTTCTTTCGACTCCAACCTTCAAGTCTGCAAACCAATTAACTTTGTTCCAGAACACAATAATTGGTACCCAAATCTATGATGTGAGAGCTGTGGATATTGACAGTGAAAATGCTGGACGGGTATCCTATGGAATCATAGAGGTGAGTGGGACCCCACAATCACAGTGAGGGAAGGATGCTGTACCCCGTATATATATAATGAATCCTGGCAGATGCCTTGTGAGATACGAATCCTATTCAAGGTTCTCCATTGCTGGCATGGTAATTCAAAACCTGACACTTTTGGGTAGGGTCATTTATACATCTACCTATGTCTGGTCATTCAGCAACCCATTTCTTTTGAGAAAAACTGTCAAACTGTAGATCACATTGTAGTCAGTTTATAAGCTGAGTGCATATACTACTCCAATATCTGATTATTTTTTTCCCATAAACAAAGCTGTACTTCAATGGTTACATTACCTAGAGATTGGTATCTGAATATAGATTTTTAAAATATTCGTATTTTACTGTTTTTTTAAATCCAGATGAAATGTTAACATAGATTGCAAGTCCATATGTCATATGCCAAATAGGTAGGTAGGTAGGTAGGTAGGTAGGTAGGTAGGTAGGTAGATATAAGTGAATGTCCTAATGCTGGCATTTTGAATATAATCTGTAATGTCTGTCCAATGGCACTTATGCAGAAATAGATCCTTAGGATTGTGAATTTCCCCATTTAATGCATTAATTTAATACATAAAGCCACTTGTAAGCTACCTTTCTGAAAGTAAAAAGTGCACATTTCTCTTTAACAAATATTTCTCAGAAGAATGTATGTTTCTGAGAGTTCCAAGCAAAAAGTGTACTGTAGCCACAATTGCAGAAGATGCTTATATCAAGGCCATTTAAAGACAGCCAGGTTAATTTACATAATTTACATAATCATATTGGAGAATTTTGGTTAAAATCTATCTCTGAATTTGTGTTAATAAAAATGGAATTCAAAAGAAGTTACATACAGTACAAGAATTTCAAAAGTTAGTTGGAAATAAAAACGTATGAAGATATTTAAAGACTGTTACCTTTTAAAATTGTAAACAGAATCTTGATGAGACATATCGCTAGTTCTCATCTTTCAACCACAATTGGGATCAGAATTTCGGTTGCCAAGCAAGGCAGTTGTTAAGTGAGTCTCATATAATTTTGCACCATTTTTGCCATGGTTGTAAAGCAAATCACTGCAAGTGCTAAGTGAATCACACGGTCAATACGTGAATCCAACTTCCCCGGTTGACTTTGCTTGTCAGAAGCCACTTGGGTAGGTGGAAATGGTAATCACATGACCCTGGGGCGCTGCAACCATTGTTACTACATATTGTACACATTGCTACATAAGCTGAGAATTCACCTGACCATTGGTGAAGGTTATTTTGCCGGTTGAGTTTGTCTGTTATAAATAGATATATTTCCCCCACGCCATCAAGTAATTTATAATATCTTCAGGACTTCCCACAAAGTCATCCTTGAGGAATGTGTTTTTTATTCAAGGCAAAGTTTTGTATTTTGTTACTGTTCATGTTTCTACCATGTGACTCCTTTACAGGTCATTCCAAACAGTGCAGAGAATCGTCAGCTTTTTAACATTCTGCAAAATGGCACTGTAGTGTTGAATGGCTCACTCAGCTATAACAATAAGAGCACTTTCTATCGAATCAAGATCTTTGCTAAGGTGAGGTTCAGGAATATTCAGAGGCAGGGGAGGGGTAATAATCTCATTTATGTGGAGAAAAAAAACCTAGGTGCTTAATTGTCATGAACAAGGCACTGTGCCTAGTAGCTTTCAACTGGGTTCTTTGACAAGGATTTGTATTGGTGTTCCAACAGTTAGCCCGTGAGTGTGCTAAGACTGCAAATCCTAGAATTCACACATAGCATGGAGTTGTAGTCCCAACATTGTTGGTGAAAACTGGATAGGGGACTCCAGCATGAGTATTTCTCTCTCCCTGGTATGTCTTGCGCAGGTTTATGGGGATATGACTAACAGGAGGGCAACAAGTAGATGGGATTATGTAGTATGTTTTGTTAAGCATTCTGTTGAAAATTTAGGTCATAGATTAACCAAACCAGTGGAAAGGCCCTGTTGTAACAGAGGCTGTCCTTCCTCCTCCTCCTCTGGATCTGCACCATGGCCCACTCACCAATAACCAAGCAAGTGCCCAGAGTGCAGAATCCTGAGGAGCTTTTCACCAACTTGGAGCACATTGGGAAGGGCTCCTTCCTCCTTCAAAACATCAATACCTGAAAGCAGCAGTTCAGGGTTGTTATTAAAATCATCAATCTTGAGGAAGCCAAGGATGATATTGATTACATCAGGAGGAAATAATGGTTCTCAGCCATTGTGATAGTCCTTACGTTACAAAATATTGTGGTTTGAAAAGCACAAAGTTGTGAATAATAATGGAATATTTAGGTAGGGGTTTGGCTCTGGATTTGGCCTATGCTGGCCATTTGATGAATTCCAGATTTATAGGATGCTTTATTGCCATTTTTGAGTTTTAAAAAATCTGTTAAAACTATGCAAACCATTTCTTCTTTTGACAACCCCCCTCCACAAATGCACCTTTCAGAGAGATATTTATTGTTGTCTTATATTGACTGGGTTCATTAAAAATCTAGACCAATATATTTTTAGATATTAGATTGTGGAAGTTAGTTTGCTAGATTGTTTAGATATTGAAAAACCTCTAGAACAATTATATTTGGAAAACTTTGATTATCTGGCAGATGCTGCATTTTAATTCAACTACATTTTAAGTAGAGTAATATCCTACACAGGATAAAGGTTTTAGAGTAATCATGTTATTTTATAAAATTATAGCTGTGTGTGTGTCTGTGTGTGTTTCTGTGTCTGTGTGTGTGTGTGTGTGCACGCTGGTCTTGTTATATTCAGGTCTTTTCCCATATAAGATTGAGCAAAAAAAAATCAGAATAGATGTTTTTCAGGGGCAATCTCTCAGATACTCTAGGCGTGTTTTCAGTTACCTCAAAATACAAGGATTCATCACAGTGCTACCATAAATAGGTAAAATGTCAATTCAAATGACTTATGGTTGCTTCTGTGTATTCTAGGACAATGGAGGATTGTTGCATGGTTCTTTTATCTATCAGAACAATACGGCTTATATATCTGTGACAGTTATTGATGTTCCAGATCTGGACCCACAGTTTTTGGGAGAGCCATATGTGGCCTCAGTGTCAGAGAACTGCCCTCTGGTAAGAACTTTCTCACCTGTGTATGACAAAACCTGGCTTTCAAATCTTAATTCTTCAAAATTTCCTACTAAATCCATTTTGGGGCTAAGCATAGTAAAATCACAGGATGGCATTGAAATTAAACATATAAACAGAGGCATAATATCAAAAGCCTACATCATTCAAAGATGTTTCCTTCTAAAATTTCTCAGCAGGTAGCTCAGCAATTGCCATTGAGAAGATTCTGTCTTATCTTCTAGAGGTGAGGATCTTTTTTTCCCCTTCCAAAGTCAGAAATCATTGGCAGGTGGATTCAGAAAGTGGTCCTTCCATTTAGGGCTAGGGAGTAATTTGTTTCTCCCTGTCGAGGAGACATCTTCAGTGCGCTTTGAATAGTGCATAGTTGCAAGCACTTTACGTCATGCATAGCAGTGGGTTCCAGCAGTCACTACTGCCAGTTTGCTCGTGGGTGCAGAACATTAAAAATTCCTCTGCGCATATGTAGAAGCAAAAAACAAGATGGTGGCACCTATGGTGGCGCTGGGAGAACTGGTTCAGGGGCATGGCCAAACCATTACCGGCTGAACTGGTCTGAACTGGTAGGAACCCACCACTGGTCACGCATAGTTGCAAGCACCTTGAGAAATTGCATACAAGAACCACATGAATGCCACTGTGTGCTGTCAAACACCTTTTTATCTTATATCTAAAGCGCTGTATACTACTACCTCATTTATCCTAGTCCTACACCATCCTAGTTTTCATTGGTGCATGGAAACTATTGGAGTGCCAGTGGCATTAATCCAAATCTTATATAATGTACAGCTCATTTTGTGGTTGCTGAAGTTTTTAACCACCTTTATAGATAATTCATCAGAGCATGAATTACTATAGCCAGAATTTTATTCTCCAAGATTAATTGCAGATCTCATATCACACGAAGATATACAAATACCCCAATCTTCTGTATATTGTGATCATCATCAGAGGATCCAATGTACATTGCTTTTCAATGACCACCATGTATCACTTTGTACTAAGCTGCAAAGTTCAGTATTAGAGTATGCCATCCTGACAAGAACAGCCTATGAGGAAGAGGAGGATTTTTAAACAAAAGAAAACTGGATATTGTGACATCACATCACTCTAAGATCTCACTTAAAAAAAGACAGATGGAAATTAATAATAACAGGTGATGAAATCCAGTTCTGCGTTTGTGAATCCTCATTTTGCCTCTTGTGTCCTTTCCCTTGAGGAAAAAATGTTTTATGTGACAAATTCCTTGTGTCTAATCATGCTTGGCCAAACAAAGTATTCATCTTCTACCAGTCATTTGGTTCTAGTATTTTTTTTATAATTCAAAGTGAACACGCTGAATATATGCTTGATCTAATTCCCCTTCCTGTAAGCCAACCTGTTGATATCTTTAAGTTTTGAATGTCATCAATATCTGCTTCCAATATGAATCTAAATAAAAGCACATAGTATATGAATGAATTCATGCTGACAAATTTTTTTTTAAAAAAAAAACCAGCCAGAGTAGATTTTTGAATGCTTTTCCATTGCTTCTTGTCATAGACATAGACATGGAACAATTTTATTGTCACGTTGAATGTACACTAATCGGCATGCATTAAAATGAAATTTCTTTGCATACAGCTCTCAAAGGGTCACCACCTCCAATATACACTACATAAACATGACAAAATAAATAAAATGCAAAATTATGCATATGCCCACATATGTTGTATGACACAGAGAAAAAACACAGTCTAGTTCGGATACATGTACATGGTGAGAAAAATGAATCTTGTGCATTTACTAGACGGATGGCATAGGGAACAAAGCTGTTATAAAATCTGGAAGTCCTGCTAGAAATACTTCAAAACCTCCTCCCAGAGGGTAGCAACAGAAACAGATCGTGAAGTGGGTGTGGGGGTCTCTAACAATGCTTTGAGCTCTAAGCAAATAGTGCTTATAAGCAGTATCCTGAATAAATTGTCCCCTGGAGATCAAGAGAGAATTGTATTTTTAGACATCTGAAATTATCTTCCTGAACAGCAATTATTTATCTAGAAGGTGGATCACTTTAATTTCTTGTTGGAAGATTATTTCTTTTTTATAAAGCTAGAATTGTGCATAGCTGCAAGGGTTGATGAACACATTAGCAAATCAGGTTCTTTCTTTATATACTGTGGGGATACAAAATATGTCGTATCTTATTCAGGCTTTCTTCTTTCTAGGGTACTCCTATAATGACAGTATTGGCCATTGACAAGGACAAATCTGTGGATGATACAATCCTTTACAATATCACCGGTGAGTAAAGAGTCTAGGGAAGAGGGATATCAGGTGTACAGACAGGATCAAGTTTATGATCCGTTGTCTACAACCATGAAATTAATTATGCATATGCCTCTAATTTTTAATTACTATATCGATACTTTATGTCTACAAAATGCATAGCAGCACCCTTATGCTTAGGAAATCATAGCTGATGTTCAGTCCTTTTCTGACACATTATTTTATTCATTAAAGCAGAAAGCCTGGCTCCTATCACATTCTTCCCAAATTGTCTTCTTGGCTTCCTTTGCATTATAACTTTTCCTATAGTTAGATGCTGTATGTAATGTCTCCTATATATAGCAATAGCAATAGCAGTTAGACTTATATACCGCTTCATAAGGCTTTCAGCCCTTTCTAAGCGGTTTACAGAGTCAGCATATTGCCCCCAACAACAATCCGGGTCCTCATTTTACCCACCTCGGAAGGATGGAAGGCTGAGTCAACCCTGAGTCGGTG